GGGGGGCCCGCGTCCCCAGCCACTGATGCTGCAGAGTCTACAGAGACCATTGTCTTTGAGGAGAAGGATGGGAGAGCCATGCTGAACCTCTTCTTCATGCTCAAGGGAGCCAAGACTTCACCACTGTCCCGTGCACTTAAGGTTTTTGAGGTGAGTACCTAACCTGTTGCATGGGACTCGCTACAGGTTTCATGGCTGTTCTGTGAGAAATATCATTTGTGTCTACTAAAAAAGACTCAGATTAGGTCTGCTTACTGCAAATTATCACTTAATAGTCTGATGACCCCACGGTCATGCTTTGCTCATGCCCCAGTGTACCCTCACTTTCTATCATGAAGAATGAGCCGTACCTCTGGTAGTGCTGTTAAGCTCTGTGCTTAACTTTGCTTAATTACTAGATCCGACCACACAGTTTCCCACCAAGAATCCACACACTTGTGTCTTGTAGCATACGCTGACAGCTCCCTCCACTGCTCGGCACTTCAACTTCTTGTGCAGAGCTCTGATCCCACATTCGAAGCAAGCTGTGTGCCCTGCATGGCTACAGACCAAACCCACCTCACTTGTGGGCCAAGGCTTTGGCAATCTCTGAATGGCATTGCCACACTGGTCCTTGGTCAAAGAGTTACAGGAACAACTTCACCCTGGGTGTAAAACTGGTATATTGATTTTAAAATTACGTCTCTACTTCAGGGATGAATTTGATTCATATGTTAAAGGTTCTCTTGGGTCTCTCAGAGATGTGCCCCATATACGGCTTTAATACCGAGGAAAAATGGTAATAGAGTCTATTACCATTTAGAGCTAATAAAGTCTTTTCCCCCTAGCCAGCAATATAATGTTGCATTATCTAGGATCTCAGTACCAGGAATGGAAAGACTGAGATAAGTGCTGCCTATTTAAACAGTAATCAAAACATGACAACTTGCATTTATGTAGTACATTTTCATTCAGAAGGATTCAAAAGTGTTTTGCAAACTGAGGTTGTGAGATATGTTTTATCTGCAGTACTTTAATTTCATTGACTTCATCAGTGAGAGGAGAGGACAATTTGTTCTTATTAATCAGTCACGTGGGTTGTAAGGGGCCTCTGGAGGTCTCTAGTCTGACCTCCTGCTGAGAGCACGTCCAGTCATAGCAGGGTGATTGAGGCTGTGCTTGCATTTTGAACATCACCAAGGCAGAGATCCCACAGTCTCCCTGGACCACTTGAGCAGTGTTTTACTGCCTTCATAGTAAAAAGTTTTTCTCTTTTCTTTTTAATGTCCTTGCTTCCAGCTTGTGCCCATTGCCTCTTCTCCTCCCACTGTGTACTTTTCAGATGAGTCTGGCTCTGTCTTCTGTACACGCTCCTACCAGGTAGTAGTAGACTGTGAACAAATCTCCCCTGCCCCTTCACTTCTTAAGGCTGAACAAATCCAATTCCCTCAGTCTTCTTCATATAACATTGTGCTCCAGCCCTCTGAGCATCTTGGCAGCCCTCCACTATGCCTGCTACAGCACGTAAATGTCTGTCTTCTACGGGACATGATAGCCCAGATGTGGTCTCCCTCATCCCAGATAGCAAGGAGGAATCACTTCCTGTGACCTGTTGTCTACAGTCTTGCTACTACAATTCAGCACATCACTGGCCTTTCTCATCACAAGGGCATGGTGCTAGCTCATGTATTAATACACATGATAATTATGTAACACCTTCTTCCCCATAGAGTGCAACCACTTCTGGAGTAAAAACAGATCCCCAGCAACACTATACAGTAAAACCACTACCTAACAGCTACAAACATACAAAAAGTGTGTTTGGGGGATAAGAATTTCCCTGACATTGCAGGGCATTCTAGATACTCGTTGCCCATGCAGTACTATCTCTGATAATGTTATGAAAAGTGTTTAAGATCTTCAGCAACTACAAAACATTTTGCCTCTCCTCTAAGAGGACTCTTGCAAGAAAAGCTAGTTTCTGGGCAACATATAGTTCTTGTCTGAAGACTGAAAGAATCCCTAAGACAAGCTAGTCAGACAGAAGCCTTGGTGTTGCTGTGGTTGGGGTCTCCATCCTAGAACTGCACACCTGCCAGATAAGGCATGAAAAATCCATCAGTGTAACATTTCAAATGCAACAGACTGCTTAGCAGGTATGAAACACAGAAGTGTAGGCTCTTGTACCTGGTAAATTTCATGTTACATTGCATTTAAAGTCCATAATTCAATCAATTTTTAAAACATCAAGCAAAAAGCAGGGGCAAGTTATGTTCCAATATTATTTGTTTCTTCCTGGAGCAATTTACTTGCTGCATCAAGAGCTTTCCTAGTAAAAAAGCTCTTTGAGCTTGTCACAGAGAGAGCTTTAAATATAATAAAAAGACAAGCATGTCAAGCCACAGCAGAGGAAGATTCATTCCCCAGATCCCTCTGGCAATGCAGGTAAAAGATATGAAAGCAGATGGGCATAATGACATTTGCCTCATCATGAACCAGGCTGCAGGGAAGCTGGTTTCACTCTTCTCTATGTGTTACATGCAGCCAAAGCATAGGTAATGCAATCACGGCTGTCAGATTAATGCAAAGGTATTGATTGTTGAGGGGACAATGTAATAGTGAAGTTGGTAGGTACATTAAAAAACACGGTCCTAAATTTAATTTACCTGTGGCATCACATCTGCTCCTTCTCATCTTTCTGTCTCTGATTAACAAAAGAAATCATGTCCCTACCTCTACCAAAGACCTTGCAGAGACTTTGGAAAGGTTGAGTCGTTGCCCAGGGACTTGGAATTGGACTGCCAGTTTTCACTGAGCTAAAGGAAATATCCACAGATCTACCAGGTCCCTTTGGAAGACTATAGACTCCGTTTTGGCGTCATCTTATTCTCTGGGGGAGGTCAGTTCTGACAGCGAGCCCAAATGACATCAGTGCTGGTAGTGAGCCCCAAACTACCGCAGCTGCGGGCTGGGT